CCCATAATTCTTATGAATGTTTATCCACATGGCTTGGTACCTTTTCTCAGTTCTGCCTTGTCATCTTGCTTCCTCTGTGTCTGGCTGGTGACTCCTGACTCAGCCTTTCTCTTCCCAGAATTCTCCTCATCTGCTTATCCCACCTGTACTTCCTGCCTGGCTACTGGCCAATCAGCATTTTATTTATCAACCAATCAGAGCAACACATATTCACAGAGTACAAAACGACATTCCACAGCAGCAATCTATACAAGGATGTAAATGTCCATATGATTTACTCTTTATTTCAGAAGTAGACAGATAACTGTAAAGAAAAAAAAGTCAATCCTGGGCTGCTGAGATGGCACGTTTGCTGCCAAGTGTGATGTTCTCCATGTGGGTGAAGTAGCATGCATGTGTGTACATACCTATAGCTCAGCAGTTGAATGAGAAGGTCATCTGAGCCTACACATTGGAGACCAGCCTGGGCAACATAGTGAGACTCTCTATATAAAATATTAAAATATATGGTAATTATATATACATATGTTTTTTAAAAAGCAAACCCTGAATGTTTTTCTAAAATGCTTATCTGCTTCTCTGGACACAGAGAAGACAGCCTCCTGCAGGCGGCAGGGCCGTGACTCCTTCTGGCTTCAGGAGGAGCGGGATGTTACCACCTGCATATGCTTTTATGACCTGGAAACTGTCTTGTCTTTCTGTACTGATCAAGTAGGACTTGGGTTAAAATGATAGGGTTTATAAAGTGAAGCAGTCCAGGACTGTTTCATAGAATGTGAGGTCTGTGAAAAGCTGGACAGATGCTGTGAGCGTGAGCCACTGAGATTCTAGGATTGTCATTATCTTGCTTAACTGAATGTAAACTCCAAGAAGTATTGTCTAAAACTGACAAATGAAGAGAAAGCCATCTAAGTATATTCTTTTGCCTTTTTATTTTATATTTTATGTGTTTGGGTGTTTTGCCTGCATGTATGTCTTTGTACCATGTGTATGCAGTACCCATGGATGGCAGAAGAGGGTGTCAGATCCCCTTGGAACTGGAGTTACAGACAGTTGTCAGCCACCATGTGGGTGCTGGGAACTGAATCTCTGGAAGGGCAGTCAGTGCTCTGCACTGCTGAGTCATCTCTCCAGCCCCAGATATTAAAAAACCATTTTTTTTTACTACATTTATTTATTGTATATGGGTGTGGGACATATGTGCCATGGTGTGTCTGAGAAAGTCAGAAGGCAACTTGTGGGAGTCAGTTTCCCCCTTCTGATATGTGGGTTCTGGGGATGGGAACTAGGAATTTGAGACCTAATAGTCAGGAGAACAGATGAAGCATTCACCATGGTTGCTTGTGGGGAGCAGGACTGAGGAGAGAGAGTGAACAGAGGACGATGTTGGTTCTCTGTGGCACTCTACACTTTGTGTTACATTGGCAGGAATACAGTTTTCTACTTTTTTGATAGTTGTAGTTTGGAAATTTGCCCACCAGACCAATACAGAGGTGTGTCTCAGGAAAAACAGCTTGCTAGACAGCTCAGCTGAGTAGTATAGGCGTGACCAGACATAGGAAGGCATGCCAGTCTTGGGGATGGAGGTGGAGAACTGTGGAAGTTCACACAGTGCACCACGCAGATCTGCCTCTCAGAGGGGACAGCCTGAGTGCTGTGGATGATGAACTTCAAGAGAGGCTGCGACCTGAGTCCACGAGAGAGCTCCTGTGCCCTGGAATAAGACATGATACATGTCTGAGGGAGCCTGCTGCTTTCAGGGAACAAAATGGTCCAAGTCCTCTAACTCAGGGAGTGTAGAGGAGCCAGAGTCCTGGGAGTAAAAAGAATTCCGTCAGTGAGAACACGAGGCAGTGATGTGTGCTAGAGAGACAGAAGCAGCCCAAGAGAAGGGGATCGGAGTGGGCTTCTCGGAAGAGGCGATGTCTGAATGGAGACATGAGTTAAGTGGCAAGCAATGCAAATTTGGGGGTTGAGGGTGGCAGTAAGTCCAGAAGTCCCGAGGAGGGCTGGGATTTTCAAGTTTGAGGACTAGCAGACAGGCTAGTCTGGAGGACATTAGTCAAAGAGGAGGTTTGGAGAGCCTGGACCCCAGAGGTGGCTGGAGCCAACTGACGGCACAGAGAGGGTGCTTCGGGGAGGTCCTGGGAGTTGAGAGCAGAAATGGGGTATGATTTGTTTTGCAGCTGGAGCAGGGGCCTAAGGAGGCCATCGGTGAAGGGTGGGGCTTTGGACGACAAGAGAGAGGGGGGCCCTTCAGCCCAACACAGACCAGCCCCAGCTGCCTCAGCTCCCACTCACCAGCAGCCCAGCCCCCTCTTAGGATGGAAGGATCCATCACAAATCAAAATAGCAGGCAAAGAACAGCCTCGAATTGTTCTGTGCAAGAGTGGAGAAATTAGACAAGTCAGCTGTGGGCTCGAGACCGCCTCCCACACAGCTGTGATTCGCACCCCGATGAAGACACACTTCCTAAGCCTCCCAATTCTGCTGGCTCCTAGCAAAAAGTTCTGCTGCTCCAGACCCAGAGCAAATAGTAGTTATTTTGGGACAGGCGCTGCTGGTCTTGGAGGACAATGAGGGAGTCTTTTTTTTTTTTTTTTTTAACTAAAAAAACCCTCTGATACATCCCAGAAAAGTTTCAACAGCTGAAAGTTTGGTCAGTCCTTCACAAATACCAAGCAAGTACCAAGCTGGGCCTGGTGGGCTCATTCCCACCTTTAATCCCAGCACGTGGGAGGCAGAGGCAGGCAGATCTGTGAGTTCGAGGCCAGCCTGGTCTACAGAGTGAATTCCAGGACAGACAAGGTTCAAAAAACAAACAAAAAGAGTTCAAGGTTATCCTTGGCTATTTATTGAGCTTGAAGCCATTGGGGGCTACTTGAGTCCTTATCTCACATCTTTCTGCCCTACCCCCAGCCCCCCAAAAAAGGAAAAAGATGCAGAGACCAAGGACTCCCTTCACAATTTCATGAGGAATCTAGACTCTAAATCCCACCTCTGATCCACTGGATTTGTTATTGTTGTTGTTGTTGTTGTTGTTGTGGTGGTGGTGGTGGTGGTGGTGGTGGTGGTACCGGTGGTACTGGTGGGTGGCACTACTGCCGCCGAGGATACAACCAGGCCCCCACTGGACCAGTAAGCTATACCTGCAGCTCAGGTCTGCTAAACCTGAGTCTCTGGAATTGGGCCTTTAAATTTCCATTCTTAATAAGCACACCTCTACTCCAAGCAGTTATTCTGAATGCAAGCATAAGAATCACTTCAGTCACAGCCTGAAGCCTATTGTGGGAGAAACAGGGTAATGGAAGGGCAAAGAAAGAGCAGGACTCACCTGAGATCCCATAGCCGCAGCACAGTGCCGCGGAGAGAGCCGAAGACACACACACACACACACACACACACACACACACACACACACACACACACACACACCGCCCTCCTGCTCTCCCAACAGTGTCTTGCTCTTTTCTTTTAGTGTCTGTTACCCAGTGTGAGGGTGCTCAGTGCTGTTTTTTATTTTGTTTTGTTGGGAGAGAGTCTCCTAAAGCCTAGGCTGGCCTTGAGCCCTCTGTGTAGCCAAGGCTAACCTTGAACTCGTAATCTTCCTACTGCCACATTATCCAAATGCTGGAACTACAGGTGTGTACCACCACACCCAAAGATTTTGTTTGTATTTCCAAGACAGGGTCTTGCTATGAAGCCCAGGCTAGCCTCAAACTTGTAATCCTCCTGCCTCAGCTTCCTGAGTGCTAGGATTATGATTATGGGTATTCACTTGCCCCTCCCCGCCTGCAGGTGGGCTCTGCCTTTAGAAAATCACTTTCTCCACTTTCAGGGCCCTTCCAGCTACAACCTGACACACGAGGACTTGCTCATATCAGCCGCCCTTCCCTTTCTTACCAGTCCAAGGTGTAAGAGCGATTCTTACCTTGCCCCAGTGTGGCTGTGCTTTTATGGTGACGATGATGCTCTGGGACAGTCTCCTCCATACCATCCTGTGCCCAGCTCAGGCCCTGTACATAAGGCATCATGTCTGTATGTACTGAGCATGCAAGGGCCAGCTGGGTTGTCAATGGTTAAATGCAGCGCAGAGCGTGGAGTATGCTGGCAGTGTTAGGGGCAGTTTGGTTGCACATCTGGCCTGATGTCTGGGCTTAGACGTGTGACAATGAATGTGACTCACCTTCCTCACAGCATGGGGATAGGAAAGGGAATGAACCACAGCCTTCATAGAGGGATGGATCTACTTGGGTGGGGGCTAGGAAGCCTGGATGGAACCAGAAAGGGCCAGAAGCGCTGGTCTTCCACAGAGGACACTTCAAGGGGTGTAAGGTCCCAGCAGAATCCCTCACTCAGAGCTGACCAGTCATATTCCCCAAAGACCAGGTAAATGGCCTAACTCCCAACTTCATTCTGTATGGATGAAGAATAACATCCCAGGGCGGTGAGGATGGATTCTGCCATAAGTTGTTCTCTGACCTCTGCTGGGCAAGCACTCTGGTAGCTGAGCTACAACCTTTGTCCTGAGTGCATAATCCCTGGGCTCAGGGCTACATGCTATATCACTTCACTAAATTTTCACAACTGTAAAAATTACGTTCCCCGACCCCTGACCCCTTCCCCCTTCTTTTTTTTTGGATCCAAGTTGTCATTATGCTGCTCAAGCTGGCCTTGAACTCATAATTTTTCTGCTTCAGCCTCCTCAGTGATTGGATCATAGGTTCCAGAGAGATCCTTACCCATCTGCTTCCGGGAGAAGGGGTGATGGTCAGCTGGGCTCCAATCTCACCTTGGCTCCCAACATTTTTACTTTTTTTTTTTTTTTTTGAGAAATCACGTAGCCCAGGCTGGTCCTGAACTCTCAGTCTTTGTGGGTTAGCCTCCTGAGTGCTCGGATGATAGGCATTGACACCACACGGGCCCTGCCCTTTACTCCCCCAGTCTAATGGAAACTGAAGTCCATGAAGTGGATAGTGACCCGTGCTCTTCCTTCTAAGGTATACTAAGTTGAAGACTGCCACCAACATCTACATCTTCAACCTGGCCTTGGCTGATGCGCTGGCCACCAGCACGCTGCCCTTCCAGAGTGCCAAGTACCTGATGGAAACGTGGCCGTTTGGAGAGCTGCTGTGCAAGGCTGTGCTGTCCATTGACTACTACAACATGTTCACCAGCATCTTCACGCTCACTATGATGAGTGTGGACCGCTACATTGCCGTCTGCCACCCTGTCAAGGCCTTGGACTTCCGGACGCCTGCCAAGGCCAAGCTGATCAACATATGCATCTGGGTCCTGGCGTCAGGTGTTGGGGTCCCCATCATGGTCATGGCAGTGACCCGACCTCGGGGTGAGTGAGAGAGGAAGCTGCAGCATGGGTCTCGGCCTGACCGCCTGTTGGCCTCTGTGAATTTCCAAGGCATTTATTTGGGCAAGTGGGAGTGATTTCCGGTGGTGGCATGGGTTACAGAGCAATGAATGGAGAGTATTGTCCGGTGGGGTGGAGAGTCAGCCAATGGGGAGTGTGGGTGGATGAATGAAAACAGAATCAAGTCAGGTGGTTTAGTTCCAGCCTCCCAGGCAGGCATCCAGTAGTTGGTTAGGTTGCTGGTCAGGACAGTGGATTCCAGGGAGATGGATAAATGCCAAAGTGTGATGGCCACTGACCAGTGAGCAGCAGAGGCCACAGGATCTGCAGACCCATCCGGAACTCCCTGTTATCCCTCTTTGAAAACCACTGGAGAGATGGCTCAATGGTTAAGAGTACATACTTTTTTTGTGAGGACCTGAGTTCAATTCCCAGCACCCACATCATATGGCTTACAGCTGCCTGTAACCCCAGCTCCAGGCGGAATCTCACACACCTCTGACCTCTGTGGGCACTTGCATTCATGTGCCCATCCCCTCCCCCATACATATAATTAAGATAATAAAAAGAAAAAGAAAAAAAGAAAAGAAAAAGAAAACCACGGAAAGTCGGGTTTATAATATATACAGGGCTATAATCCCGACTCTCAGGAGCTTGAGGCAGGAAGACCAGCCTGGGCTGTGTAGTAAGAATCTGGAGAGAAGGACTTAGTGGGAGGATGGAGCTCAGTTGGTAGAGTGCTTACCCAGCATGCACAGAGCCCTGGGACCAATCCCCAGCACTTCATAAATCAGATGCTGTATACCTATAAGCCTTGCAAGAGGATCAGACGTTCAGGGCTAACTTTAGCTTTATAATGAGTTTTAGGCCACGCTGGGCTACATAAAACCCTGACTCAAAAACAAAGAAAGAAAAATAAGGAGGGGGAAAAAAACATTGGCTAAATGATCAAAGAGAGACCTAGAGAAGGACCTGAATGGCCTGCAGGGAGTGGCAGACAGGTGCATCTCCTGGGGCATCTTTATTAGTCTCTATAGCTGCTGTAACAAACACCCCCAAAGTTCAGGGGCTTGACATGGAAGTTTATTTCTCAGTCCACTACAACCCACTAGGTAGGAAGAGGATAGTTTGCAGGTAACCCAGGCTCCCAGGGAAGGTGCCCAAATCTTCCACTGTTGGTGTCTGGCCAGCACATCAATACAGAAGGAAGTCAGGAGAAATCATAACCACTTTTCAATGTTAGCATCCATCCTTTCCTAGTGTTGGCTGCTCATATGGCCCTACATTGATGTAAGGAAGGGGGCCTCTACATTAGTAACAACCTCTGAGCGGTACCTCCTCATAGACAAGACAGGACACCTCTCTCTCTCCCTTTCTCTCTCTCTTCCTCCTTCCCTCCTCTCTCTCTCTCTCTCTAACTGAGGCACAATGTAGAGTGATACATGCCCATAACCCCAGCACACAGGAGACAGAAGAATTCTGAATCCAAGGCCACTTTATATTATGTATCCAGACGTTGATTGAAAGAAAAAAGAAAACAGAACCAAGTCAGGTGGTTTAGTTCCAGCCTCCCAGGCAGGCATTTGATGGAACTTGACCTTCGACCCAAGGCTCCTGCCCTCAGGTCTCTCCTTCCTTTTGGTCCCTGGGTAGAAGTCTGTAGAGGCTTGATTCTCAGGGTAGGTAAGGGGATGAGGGTTTGTGGGAAACTTCTTAGACACCTCGACCCTCGAAAGGGCAGAGCCCCCAGTGCCATTATACAGCCTTCGAGCAATTGGGTTTGACTGAGCAGCAGGGCCCCATTGCTCCGTCAGCCCTGCTGGAAGTTGAGCCAAATGGACCTCCTGACTCCTCCCTCTCCCATACACACACTGATCCTCAGTCATCCCCAGGGGTCCTGCCAGCCTGAAGTACCACAGACATTTTGTGGATCTCCAGCCCACATCTTTCTTTCTTTTTTTTAAATTTTATTTTATTTGCATGTATGTCTATGTGAGGGTGTCAGATCTTGGAGTTACAGTTGTTAGCTGTCATGTGGGTGCTGGGAATTGAACCGAGGTCGTCTGGAAGAACAGGCAGGGCTCTTTAACCACTGAGCCATCTCTCCAGCCCCTTTCTTCTAACTCTCAGGCTGCCAGTCTACTGTGTGGCATCCCCTGGGCAGAGATTTTGGGCATCCCCTGGGCAGCTTCTGACCTGCATCAGAAGCCTGAAACATCCTCTGAGACACTCATGTGGCCCAAGCCTGTTCTCCAGGAAGCATCCCTTCCTCTCTCTGCAGGGCTGGCTGTTGGGAAGGACACTGTTGTTTTACTTCCCTTTTGGATATAGTCTCACTATGTGACTTTGTCTAGCCTTGCCCTTGAGACGCTCTTGCCTCAGGCTCCTGAGTGGTGGTTTGTGTGCCACCTCATCTGGTGCAAGGTTGTTGCTGGCATTAGCTGAGATCTGCATGCTGTCCTTTAACCTCCACATATATGTGTGTGGCACATACACCCAGAGAGCAAATCAATCTAACCATAACTAAAGAAATGTGCATTTGACTATTAGCCCCACCATAAGGAAACTCGAAGTCGGTAAGTAATTTGCCCAAGGCCATACATATCTGGGCTGGAGTCAGTCCCTAACTCAGGCTTTTTTTTTTTTTTTCATAGAATTTCATATAGCTCAGGCTAGTCTAGAAGCTAATGTAGTCAAGGATGACCTTGAACTTGTGCTCTTCCTTACCTCTATCTTCTGAGTTGCTTGGGTTACATGCATGTACCATCAGGTCAAGTTTATACAGTGCTGGGATTTGAACCTAGGGCCTAGTGCCTGCTAGGCAAGTCTTCTAGCAACTGAATTACATCCCCAGCCCTAACTCACCCTCTAATTCAATCTTCAGTACTGATGACCCACAGGAGCAATTTTAGAAATGGGTAGGGGGTCTGCTGAGTTAGCACAATGATAAATTATTAATGCCATCCATGGACACAGAGGCTCACAAGGGCCTGAGAGAAGACACAGAAGAGGACCTCCCAGAAGGGCCAATTCTGGGGTCTTTAAGCATATGAAGGAGTTCACCAAGTAAAGGGACAGTCTAGGTGTCAGTCAGTCATCCTAGAGGGGATAAGCAGACAGAGCCCCTTAGGCACACAGACCTCTGACCCCTGTCTTTCCTTGTTTCCCGGGCTCAGATGGAGCAGTGGTATGCATGCTCCAGTTCCCCAGCCCCAGCTGGTACTGGGACACGGTGACCAAGATCTGCGTCTTCCTCTTCGCCTTCGTGGTGCCGATCCTCATCATCACGGTGTGCTACGGCCTCATGCTGCTGCGCCTGCGCAGTGTGCGCCTTCTGTCCGGCTCCAAGGAGAAGGACCGCAGCCTGCGGCGCATCACCCGTATGGTGCTGGTGGTGGTGGGCGCCTTCGTAGTGTGCTGGGCGCCCATCCACATCTTCGTCATCGTCTGGACGCTGGTGGACATCAATCGGCACGATCCACTCGTGGTGGCCGCGCTGCACCTGTGCATTGCGCTGGGCTACGCCAACAGCAGCCTCAACCCCGTGCTCTACGCCTTCCTGGACGAGAACTTCAAGCGCTGCTTCCGCCAGCTTTGTCGCGGGCCCTGCGGTGGCGGCCGTCAGGAACCCGGCAGCCTCCGCCGTGCCCGCCAGGCCACTGCGCGTGAGCGCGTCACCGCCTGCACCCCCTCCGACGGCCCTGGCGGTGGTGCTGCCGCCTGACCTACTCGGCCCTACCCCTAAGCACCCCACCCAAGTGAAGGGACCTGGTGCCAGGCCACACTGAGGCCCCTGGGAGGCCCGAGGCCACCGTCTGGGCAGCTGGAATGGGGCCTGCGCAGAGGGGTGGCCTCCGGTAGGGGCGGGGCAGGAGGGATCCAAGGCTCTGGGTTGGAGGGGTAGGGGCAGAGCTGGCGACTCCAGAGAGTGAGAAACATTGGAGGCTCGAAATTGGATCCATTAATTAGTAAAGGCCTCTCCCATGGGGCAAAGCTTCAAGCCTGGGGGCAGCCTCGGGCTCTGGCCTTTTGAACACCCAGTTCCAGTCTAAGATCTGAGGATTCCAGCTTTAGAAACCAGGAGGGGCAGTGATGGGGTCGATGACCTGATGATGGCTGTGAGATTCTGAGCCTTTGTGTTATGGGGAGGAGCCTCTTCTTAGGGGAGGTGAGAGGACCGACCAGGTAGCCAGGAAGGGTACTTAAGGGTTTGGTCAGGAGATAACTCCCCCTCCTCGGGGCGAGGCGGCGGGGGTGGGGGTGGGGAGTGGAGGGGGTGGCCTCAGTTTGGAGAAGAGTACAGGCTCTCACTACGCTCTAACTAACTGGCTAAACTTGCTGATGCTAGGTCCAATTTAACTTCTCTATAGAGAGACTGTAAGCTGGGCCTGATGGGGTAGCCTTGTGTCATCCCAGTCATACTGGAGGCAGAGGCTGGAGTTATAGACAAGCCTGGGCAACTTAGTGTCTAAAAATAAGAAGTAAAGAGGGCTGGGGGTGTAGCTCAGTGGCAGGGTGTTTATGTGAGCCTCTGGGACCAGTGAAACAAAACAACCCTCCAAACCACAGCAAAACCAAACAAAAAATAAACCGTGTTGGTGACTCTGAATTGGATGTCATCCAGAACCCAGGTGTCCCTGTGGGGCTGGAGACAGGTCAGTGGGGCAGGAGCATGGCTCCCTGGATACTGGAGCAAGGCCCCCAGAATCAAGTTGGGTTTCTTTGGTTTTTCGAAACAGGGTTTCTCTGTGTAGCCCTGGCTGTCCTGGAACTCACTTTGTAGACCAGGCTGGCCGTGAACTCTCAGAGATCCGACTGCCTCTGCCTGGGATTAAAGGTGTACACCACTACTGCCTGGCCCAGAATTAAGTTCTAATAGGACCCTCAAGGCTCAGAAGGATTCTGAGAAGGTTCCAGGACTCCAAAACCCAGTGAGCCTTTGTGCCAAGAAGTGGAAGTAGAGTTGGCTCAGTGGTTATGTGCACTTGTTGCCCTTGCAGAAGACACAGGTTCGATTCCCAGCACCCACATGGTGGCTCACAACCATCTGTAACTCCAGTCCCAGTCAATCTGATGTGCTCTTCTGACCTCTCTGGGCATCAGGCATGAACATGGTGTATGCACACATATGCAGGCAAAATACTCAGACACATAAAATAAGTCTTTTAAAAACACAAAAGTTGGGGGGCTGGAGAGATGGCTCAGAGGTTGAGAGCACCAGCTGCTCTTCCAGAAGTCCTGAATTCAATTCCCAGCACCCACATGATGGCTCACAACCATCTGTAATGAGATCTGCCACCCTCTTTTGTATACATAATAAATAAATAAATTAAAAAAAAACACACAAAAGTGGAGCTTGGCATAGTGGCACACGCCTTTAATCCCAGCGCTTACGAGGCAGAGGCAGGCAGATCTCTGTAAGTTTGAGTCCAGCCTGATCTACAGAGTGAGTTCCAGGACAGCCAGGGATATATAGTGAGACCCCCTCTCAAAAAGCAAAATGAAGTCAGGCGGTGGGTGGCGCATGCCTTTAATCCCAGCACTTGGGAGGCCAGGTGGATCTCTGTGAGTTCAAGGCCAGCCTGGTCTACAGAGCGAGATCCAGGACAGGCACCAAAACTACACAGAGAAACCCTGTCTTGAAAAACCAAGAAACAAAACAAAAACAAGCAAAATGAAACAACAGTGTGATTTGGGGAGAGAGAAGACAGCAAGGCAGGGGCTGAGGTGTCTGTTTACAGGTCAAATCATGAAGCCCGAGGGTGGTTGCTTTTGGGGTTCCCAGGGCCCTCGTGTTTATGGATCAGTACTGGATCACAGAGACTCACCTTGTTTGAGTACACCGTGTGTGGCCCCTCAACGTGAGTGGGGGTTATCAGAACTACCAAATCCTTGGACCCTTGATAAGAACCTGGAAGAAATCCCTTCCCTTCCTCCAGCATCTGGCTGCCCATCAGATGTCTGGTGTCAGTGACCCTCAGGGACTGGAGCTGCCCAAGTAGGACCCACCTTGAAGACACTGAGGGAAGAAGGCAGTGATGTCGGCATGGTCCTTTGCTGCCTCTCCATTTGTCATGTCCCCCCCCCCACCTGGGTCCTGAGGCACTGAGGGAAGAAGGCAGTGATGTCGGCATGGTCCTTTGCTGCCTCTCCATTTGTGTGTGCCCCCCCCCTCCCCGCCACGTCCCTTGTCTGTTCTAGCTGCCCCCTTGAAGCTGCTGTGGGTGGACATAGACACTCGCCCAGGCGGTCCTGGATCCTAGCTCCCCTGGATGTCGTCCTTTGCCTTGTCCCCTGTTCCTCCCCCCCACTGCCTCAGCAACCTGCCCCTGACTCCGTATTGAAGCAGCCTGCTGACATCCTTGTAAAAACAAATTTAATTCTCTTCCTTTTTTGGGACAGATGGAAAGAAATTGACGCCTTTGTCTCAAACAAAAAAAGAAAGGAGAGAGAGAGACAATATGCCTCTTTTCTTTTTGACAGCCATTCCTTTGGAACGAAAGCCGGAAGCTGCCACCCCAGCAGGGACTGAACCCGCCTTCAGGGAGGCAGGAGCTGGGCTAGCGGGGAGGGTCCCTGGATGGGCAAAGCACAGTCCTTTTCTCTGTGTGATGTCCCTAGAGCCACAGACCCTGGGGTCTCTGTACCTGAGATGTGGTGTGATGGTCACCGCTATCATCAGGCCTGCTCAGACCCCACAGCCTAGCCACATAGCTGACCTTCACCACCCAAACGGACACCATGGCCAGAGATTTCTGTTGGAGCGTGGTGGTGGTGGTGAGGTGGTCGCTGTCCAGAAGACCCTCCCGGACACACACTACTGGAGAGTCCTCCTGCTTCTTGGGAGGTGGCAGAGGAAGGGGACAGATATTCAGGGCAGACTCCAGAAGCAGGCGACACAGGAGTTAGGTCTGTGTGTCTTCCTTGCAAGGACTACGGCCTGTGTCCCACCCAGGGCAAGCCTGTCTTAGAGCCTCTCCAGGCCCCTCACTGCTCTCGCCTGTGGGGCTGAAAACTCACTTTTATTTTTTTTGAGATAGTCTCATGTAGCCCAAGCTGGCCTTGAACTCCTGATCTCCCAGGCAGAGCCTCCTGAGTATTGGTATTACAGGTGTGTTTTTCAAATTGTTTAAACATGGATTGATTGTTTGTGTCTGTGTGTGTGTGTGGGGGGGGGGGGGGTCATTGTTCTTGCCATAGTGCGCACGTGGAGGTCAGAGGACGATTTGGGAGAGGTTCCACCTTCTACCATGTGGGTTGCTAGGGATTTGAACTCAAGTCATCAGGCTTGATGGCAAGGACCTTTATCCACTGAGGCCAATTTAAAATTTTTTCTTTTTATTATTTATTTATGTGTGTGTGTGTGTGTGTGTGTGTGTGTGTGTGTGTGTGTGTGTACGTGTACGTACACATATTAGCCTGCCATGGCACCTCCCAAGTGCTTAGCTTATAGGCATATGTTACCACATCCAACAAGATCTGGCTGCTTTTTTTCCCTTTCTGATACCAATAGACATTTGTCCTGGGATCAGCTGAGGCTGGGCCAGACCATGTGTAGTCAAGGTAACACAAGCATATTGAAATCTTCCCATTAGACTGTGCACTCTGGGCCCTGAGACTCAGAAGTCAGTCAGACATGACTCCTCTCAGGCAGCTCCAACCAGTGCTGGGAGGCAAATCATACATCTGTGATTGTACGCCGGTGTGACAAATCCAGCGACAGCCCCAGGGAGGGCGTCCTGGGGAAGTGCCTCTTAACTAAAAACACGTTTGCAGCAGTCTATAAGAGGTGGCAAAGGGTCAGGGGGTTTTAAAGGATGCGTAGGAGTTGGCTGCTGAGAAGGCAGAACAGTGTGTGGAAAAGCATGGGTGTGTTCGAGTGCATGGCAAACCCAAAAGTTATGAGCAGTGGAGGCACAGAACCGAACTGAGTACTGGGGTGTACCAGACTTGGTAACAAGGACTTTATGCACGTTTTATCTCAGCTCATCCTCTTGATAGCCAAGGGGGCAGAAGTAGCACTATCCATTTTTTTTTTTTTTTTCCGAGACAGGGTTTCTCTGTGTAGCTTTGCACCTTTCCTGGGACTCACTTGGCACCCCAGGCTGGCCTCGAACTCACAGAAATCGGCCTGGCTCTGGCTCCTGAGTGCTGGGATTAAAGGCGTGCGCCACCACCCAGCTGTTTGTTTTTTGAGGCAAGGTCTCACCATGTAGCCCTGGCTGTCCTGGAACTTGCTGTGTAGACCAGGCTGGCCTCAAACTCACAAAGATTGGTCTGCCACTGCTTCCTGAGTGCTGGGATTAAAGGTGTGTGACGCACCTGGCTAGTATCCCCCTTTTAGATGTGAACACTGGGCTCAGAGAGGTTAAGCCAATTTCCCCTGGGTCACAGACCTTGTCTGGAGTGGCAGAACTCAGGCCAGAAGAATTGTAGAGAAAATTCCCAGGTCTAAGTTTGCTGTGAACTATGGGCATCAGTGAGGTAGAGAGAGACATCCCAGCCACTGCCGGAACTCTGGGATGAGGCTTTTGAAGACTTCACAAAATGGGAGAAAAGGGCAATTTTCTGTGAACTTTTGTTCCTTAAGTTCTCCAAATCTTTGCCTTTCAAAATGTACCATGCACGGTGCATTTTTAAAGCTCCAAATTGACAGTGTAATTCTAGACTATCGCAGGTCTCTTCCTCCCCAAAATTTCCATTCCTTTCTCTCTAGGAGGTGGGAGGAAAGATTTTGCCTTTGGTTTAAAAATGCCCTACAGTTTCCAGTCTCTGCTTGATGTCCTAGAACTCCCGACGAAGGCTAGATCTGATGTTGGCTTTCCCTATCAGGGCCTCAGTTTCCCTAGCTGTAGAGTGGACTTGCTTTGGAGAGTGGCTGTAAGGGTTAATTAGGTAATGTTTATCTAGCCATAGGGCCTGCCACTCGACAGGTCATCGGAAAGCAGACCTGGAGTGCAAGGTCAGAGCAGGACCCCAAGGGGATGTGCAGCAGCTTCCGGAGTGGAGAGAGGAGACCGGGAAGTTGGCCTGGGGACCCCCTTTCCTGCTAGGCTCTGGAGCCCCCATGGAGAGAGAGCAGCAGAAGGAAAAAGGGGAGAATGCGCTGTCATGGAAACAGGAGGAGGAGGGCGTTCCCAGGGAGAGGGAGTGACGGGTAATGTCAAGTATAATAGAGAGGGTGGGGGTGCAGAGGGCAGGAGGGTGAGGAGAGTAAACCAGAGACCTCAAGTTTAGTCTCCTACGTGTCCTGAGAGGCCCCAAACCTGGCTTCAAATCTCAGCCCTGACGTTAAATAGGCCACGAACGAGCAAAGGATCTGCCCTTCCCAAACTTCTGTTTTCTCCTGGACCTAAGCTGAGACAATGGGTAGTCTTCAATAGGATGGCTGGTGTCTAAACAGCCTCTTGGGTTGGCTGGATTCGTGGCCACGTGTAGCAGCTGGATCTTAGGCAAGTCATGTCCCTTCTCGGGGCTGGAGCCATGGCTCAGCAGTTAAGAGCACTGGCTGCTCCTCCAGAGGACCTGAGTTCAATTCCCAGCAACCACATGGTGGCTCCCAACCATCTATAGTCAGAGCTATAGTCAGGCGTACATGCAGATAGAGCA